TATTGTTGAGTTCATTCATCATGACCAACTCCACTTCAGTGTCATATGTCTCAATTGTTAGGTGACCATTTATAATCATGACCAAAGACAGCAAATCAATTTCATTATCCAACAGAGCCAACCTGATCAAGATCACTTTTTTGCAAATATTCACACACAAATAAATTTTGCACTCACTTTGAATTGCTTCTTGCAACTCGGTCATGTCCATGCGTACGGCCAGGCCCTGGTCAATTTTGACTTTCGAGGCCAGTTTGCACAGATAGAGGAAGAACTGTNAAGAACTGTAAGATTGGGATCCGTTCAGAAGGCAGGTGAGGCATGCACTTAGATGCATATACACAAAATAAGCACTCACATATAAACAGAATCAGTTTATTTAACTTAAAGTGTGCTGATATTCCTTCTTTCTAATCAGATTGTGAAACTAGCTGTGAACAAGAAAGACCAATCAACTCCGAGGGAAAATGAGAGGAAAAAATGTACGAGAGTTGAGCAGCACACCAGTACGTGGAAAACGTGAACTGCAATCTATGGTGAATGTTGTTCAGTGATTGCAACTCATGCAGTACAGCTCACAAATCACACAAGGGTCTCTATACTCATTCACTGGAGGGGATTGATTTACTACGACTACAAATGTGGTTTAAAGGAGTAGTAACATTAGAGCGCTGATCGTTTGGGAGATGTCTTTGGTGAGGACGAGCCTACAAAAAGCACTGTGTTTGACTGGTTTGCAGAATTCCAGCGTGACAGGCGGTCCCTGGATGATCGCGTGGTTGATCTGTGGAGGCCACCACAGGAGACTACATTACTGCTTTACAAACGAAGGTGGAGGCGGATTCCCGGGTGACAGTGGCATAGGTGTCGAAAGCCATCGGGATCTCACCGGGATCAATCCTCACCATCCGACATGAGAAACTCGACCTCGACCTTGCGCACGCCGCGTACCTCATCAGAGGAACAGTGAAGAACAGAAAGCAGCAGTTCGAGTGAATTTGGGCAGCACCATGCTTGCCAGGTTTGATGGTGGACATTCCCATGCAGTTTGGGAGATTATCAGTGGTGATAAGACCTGGTTGTACAGTTTCGGCCCAGAGACCAAGTAACCATCGGCTTAGAAACACTAACAACTGTAGTGCTGTCCTTCATTGAACTAGTCAAAGGGTTACCCACTTCGGCAAGTGGCTTTAGTGCATGGAACTCTGTGCCCATGAACGCTGGTGCAGTATACTTTGAGAGAATGTGATGTTCATTTTTTTGTAACAAATAGAACGTTTGGTCCATCCTGAAAATGTTTGTCACAGCCCTCGTATAATTGCATTAACAGTAGCAGAGATTATCTAATGAGGATACCTGTGGGACAGATGGTGTGGTGGAAAACGAAGTGACCATCTGTCATCACTTCTGTAGGAATGAAAACACACTCACAGTGTCACGCGTGACATACATTTCTAATCGATGGACTGTCATCATGTGCATCCTATCTAATAGTAAAAAACATACCGACTGATTGCCAATTATTCCGGACCGCTGTTTATCGATTCATCAGCAGACGACTGAACATGTTGTGAGAAATAAACTCACAACCGGAGGAGCATTACCGGAGCAACCAGCACTTTTATCTTCTCTACTCAGACATTACTACCGCAAACATGTCAATTCTTCTTCTTATTCAAAGTGTTAGAACCTTTCCACAAATCAATGTTGGAACAGACAATCAAAGACAGTTTTGAATTGGTGGACATTGCTTCAGTTCCAAAATTTCGGGTCACGTTGTGCTTTCAATTCAAAGGTGATGACGTAAGCCGTTTGCACAACAAACAACTGAGATCAGCAATCACTCGAACCTTCTATACAGACGACCCCCAAAACGTTTACGGGACAACTATGACACCCACAAACCCGGAAAAGAACGTCTGCCTCTGTAACGCAACTCCAGTCTGATTTCCCAATTCCGATATGAGTGCGGAACGATTTACTTGGGCAGAACAGAGCGACAATTACTCAATTGGATGGTTCAACATGTCCCAAATTGGGTCCAAAATCAGATGACTTAATCAAGGTCAAGTCAACTGCACAGAAACAACGGTCGAAATTACAAGATCCCGTCCCCAGCCATTGCTCGACATCAGCAAACGACGCAACACCAGATCGACCGAAGTACAGCTTTTCGGATTGTCTAAAAGTCACGAGTAGCAGCAATACTGCTAAGGTTAGTTGAAACGATTGCTATTAATCGATGAACGCTCCCCTCTTGTGTCAACCAAAAGAACTTTATGTTAGTTTGTCCTTACCATGGTGACATGGTTCTGCTATCCCTTCCCCGTTTTTGTCTTGTCTGTCTTAATGTATTTTGCTTGATTGATTGATTTCACTAACTAACCTTCGAACTTTACCTTCACGTACAATCCTCAGTTCATCGATTTAACTATGCACTCAAAAGCACTGTATACTCGAGTTTCGCTCTTATTAGAGCTCATCATTAGTGTATATTCGCCGTACCGTCCGGGATTTGAACTCCGGACACATCGCGTGTGTGTTATCACTGTGCCAACCAGCTCATACCATGGCTGAACCAAATTGCCAATTCATGTTGGTTCAGGTGTTGGTTTCAGTGATAGTCAGTTTGTTGCCATGGTAAAGCCCTAGATAAACATTGCATTTTATGCAGCATGGACCATGTGGAGATGCAGTGAAATCGTCCTAAACATAAATCGTGCATTGCATTGCAATATGGTCTTTCCTTTTGAAATTCTTCTAACCAGAAACGCATCATGTTGATCGTGTTCACACAACCAAATTGGTAAAGTAGTTCCTCTGATGTTGGTTTTCAAACATTCATACCCGGTGATCCACCGGGTAGTTCCAATTCGTCGGGTGAGTACTGTTTTTGTTCGGAGATCACCAGCTGCAAACGCGTTCGGTTTTGGTGAATCAGCTTGCTGCACTAACGCGCAGCAGAAGAAACTGTCCGTTGAGTGGGGTCCATTTCCTACGCTGAACACGAATACGAATGTCATTGAAACGAGCATCTTTCCCCTGACCTTGAGTGCGCGAATGTGACTGCAACCCATTTTGATAAGTTGTCTGAACTTGGAATCGTTAAAAACACTTGTCTCCGATGTTTCATCCCATTGACTTCTCTGCTTCGGGCAAAGCAACACAATATTGTATAGCGGTGTGAGTCGAACGGTATCGATCAAAAGTTTCTTCAACCAAATGAAATACCTGAGAGTTGTGATTAACACAGGAACGAGGAGTAAAGCTGATCTAATAACTTTAAAACGAAAAACATTTTTCACATTTTCAAGCCTTTGGTAAAGAGATACTTCTACATAAGACGAGCATCAGAAAAACTGCCTGGACAGTTTGCACAAATGAAGCTGAATAGATCTAAGCAGGGTTCTCCTGACACCTCTACGAAGCTTCATGATCTTCCGGAATTCAAATTGATTATTTCACTAAGAATCCTCCAGTCGGGGAAAAGCCAGAGTATGTAGTTGTCTATTCACTGAATATTTTACGGTATTTGTCAGTGAAATGAACCGCGGAGGCGATGAATCTTATTGAAACCACAAACTGCTGTTCGTTTGGGTGAGTCCTGGTACTTGAAGCAGCATATGGCCCTAATTGGTTATCGGTGGTAGTAAGACGGATAATAGAGAATATCTGTCCAGGGGCTGCTGTTGCAAGGTTCGAAAAATTGACTAATGGATTTCGCAACACGCCAGACAGATTTGCAGTCTGTTTCACCTGCTTTTATTATTATCCAAAGCACATATTCACCTATCGTTTTCTCCAAATTAAATAACTCTATCAATCAATCCTGGAAGAAGTGCAACGTGGAATCACTAACCAATTTTCCGTTGACACCTCTGTTCACTTTGCGTTGTCCTTACTGTTTTGATTGTACTCGTTTGATCTATTCTCCCCGGGGCACTCAAAACCCCTCGCCCACCCCCGCTTACTTTTTCTTGCCACTCCAGAACTCAATCATTTACGCTTAACAGGCACCTGTTTCTGGCACCGGAACGGTTGGTATGTGATTTTCTTTTTTGAGTCGAGAACGATCAAACACTTTCGGGGTTCATTTTCATAAACAATATTCAGCTAATCGATTCAACTGTATACTCGAAGCACTAGACTTGGGTTTCGCTCTTATTGGAGTTCATGAATAGACCATATTCATCGTCCCGTCCGAGCTTTGAACTTCTGACCTATCGCATGGAAGACGTATGTGTTACCATTGTGTCAACCAGCTCATACCCGTGGCTGAACGGAACTGACAACTCACGTTTCTTCAGGTGTCATCTTCACTGATAGTCAGTCAGTTAATTTTAGCCCGACAACAGAATGGGAAATTCGGTTCAGCCTTGCAGTGAGCTGGTTGGCACAGTGTTGACGCACACGCCTTCCATACGATGGGTCCAGAGTTTAAAGACCGACCATGGCGATGGTGGATATACACTATTGATGATGAGCCCTGATAAGAGCAAAACTCGAGTCTAGTACTTTCATCAGTGTATTGTTGACTGGACGAACTGAGGACTGTGCGTGAAGGTGAAGTCTTAACGATTGTCAGTTTGAATCAGTATTTAATTTCTCTGATCATAACATTGATCACTCTGAAGGTCTGACACAGATTCACATGGATTCAAAAACGCCGTAAAATGTTTATGCTGCTATTTTAGTACACAAATTATCTTGTTTATCCGGATTTCATGAATGGAAAGAAAAAGATATCGTCTAAATTCCAAACTTCGGCTTTCCTAATGTGATTGATTGATTTTTGGTGAAGAGTTTACTCAAAATTGCTTACGCGTTCTTTATCTGCACGATGTCCATCCCGGTTGAGCTCGGACGAAGTCAATTCGCATTCTAATCGTCTGACGTGATCGCGCAGAGCCACATTGTCCCGTTCGACACGTTCAATCTCGTCTCGGGCCTGAGCTTTAATGGTCTCGGTCGATTCCAGACGAGCGGCGGTCTCAGCTAATCTGGTTTCTAAACGCGCACAAAGCTGGCCACAAGAAAAGAATCCGGTAATTTTCATTGCTCACTGACTCCGAATCAATCATTAAAAGGGGAAAAACAACTAGTTATTCAAATGGGCGTATAGAAAGCAAGGCTGGATCATGACAACCACTGAGTCAGTGGACGTGCTCAAACCTTAGGGAGAGTGAATCGATAGTTTCCAAGGGATCGTTTATCAAATTGTCACATTTTTATGGTACGGTATCCGGATGTGACATCTTCCCCGGATATATCACACAATCACAGTGCAATTCGTTATTCCTATGAATGAACCAGTCACATAATGCGAAAGGTCATATTTGTTGATGCAGAAGAGTTTCGCTCTCATTTTGAGTTTGTACTCTATTTCAAGGATTTGTGCAGATAACTGCGCTCACATTTCAGTCGAAAAATCTGTTCACCAGTACAATGGGATAGACAATGAAAAAGTTATGTACAACAGTAGGTTATCTTTGTAGGTTTTAAAATTAATTCGCTTTGGATTTTTTCTTGTCAGTTAGAAGACCAGTCGGATAGCGTACCATTGAATTGCGAGCAATGTTTATGTGGGAAGGTAAATAGCGATAACTGGATCGGGTTATAGCGTAGGAACGGCAAGCAGATCGATCAAGACAGAGTGAATACCTAGGGGTCTTTGAGTATATTATGGGAGAAGTTCTCACATAAAGTAATAGGAAAATCACACAATTTTCTGATAAGAGTGTTGAAGGGAGTAAGGGATCACGGCTGGTCATTAGCAAACAGCAACGAAGAGTAACGAAGTTATTTTGACGTAGCCCAGGAAAAGTTACGGGTGAACAATAATGTATGACAGGAAAAATACTTTGATAAGCCAAAGAACATACAGTTTCATGCTTCACACTAAATTTTTGTAGTTTGCGTATCCGTAAGAATAAGCGACGCAGCCTACCAACGCCAGTTAGCACATGAGAGGAGCACTGTATGGTGTAGGTATTTGGTGATGTGTTTCGGTGATTTCCACGGAATTGATGACCGAGGGTTGTAAGGAATACTGGAAGACTACAAAATTATTGGAAGTATTTAGAAGCATTCGACTGATTCGAAAATAATTGCATCTTTAATAAACTGTCAGAAAATTAATTCAAATCAAATTGGTTTGAAATGGCTTGACATAAGAACAAATCATCAGTGTCTTAAGATGTCTTGATTAGTGGGATTGAGAGTAAGTCACTGATGAAAGTTGAGAATATGTATGGAGAGAGCAAAGCATCCTGAAGGACTCCAGAATTATTTACTAACGGTTTTGAAATAGTGCCGTTTGCTTTTGTTCATTGGATCTTTCTTGTGAAATAGTCTTTCAACCACGACAACAAAGTGGTGGAGCAACCGAACGACTATAACTTTTGGAGGAGAGGTTGTGCAACGGAATTAAAAAAGGAAGAATAATCAAAGAAAACCAAACGAATCGAGTTTTGGGGATCATTTAATGATTTGCAAAATTGCAGATGGCATCAAAAGTACATCTATTGAGCTTAGACACAAACTGTGAGTGAACCAGCGGCGTTTTGGTTGCTGTCATTTGCCTGCTGCTTTGGGCAAAAGAGCAGAATGAAGATTGAAATGTCGCAACCAGTCTACTCTATGGAAGTCAACCACTTGTTCCAGTGGACGACCGTGATTGCCTTAAACTCTACGTCTAACCTAATCAGTCCTCGGCCGGATGCCGCACCAGATCATCGTGCAATGCTGCGTAGACAGCGCGGTTCGAACACCGACAACCTATTTTTATCCTATTCCCGTAATCGCCAAATATCCTCACCGTACAGCAGAACTGGCTAAACTGCTGCAGCATACACTCGACCTTTCACAGACAGCCGGGTGTCGCGACGGTGTCACAATTTTTGAAGAACCAGCAGAAACAGACGAACATGTTTGGGTTCACCAGAACCGTTTACCCATAGATTTCGTCCTTTTGGTCAGTGAACCAGATTTGGAGTAGTTTCTTGTGCCGTTTTAAACGCTGGCATTACTCTGCTTTTTCAGTTTTGGGATCCAGTTAAGCTCAATGGGTACTAAATGTGCCATTTTACTCACATCTGTGTACCCGGAGAAGGACCTGCAAAATGTATTCAGAGCAAGATTAGGTAACTAAATCGATGACCAATATCAGTCGCATTCACATAGATGTGTTCTTGTGTGGATCAAATGGACAGAGGTTAAATGATGTTTCAGTTATTACATTCTACTATGTTCGATATAGAACCCGTTTGGATGTGTACATTCTGTGATTGTGTACCGGTATTAAGTCAACCCCGTGCGATTAGTTTCGTGTACACACAAGTTTGCGTGGTTCTTGTCACGGGCGATTTCCTAAAGCTTTAGTTTACTAAACAGTCCCACAGAGCACACTTCAAATATGTAACAGAGTGGAGAATAAGTTCGTTCTTAATGATTCCTGGTCAGCCAGTACATTACAACAACTATCACATATTAGAGTATCAACCATTCGATTGTCCCCCTCAAAAAGCCTCAGTATAGTCGGGGGTGGGTGTCTAGGGTTGAGGCTGGTCACCCTTCGATTGTACCTCGCGAAATGTTCCCATTAGACTAAGCGTCTTAAATAGCCTCTGCTGACGAAGCCCTACTCACTGCTTTCTCGGGTGGAGGTATTTTCCTACCAAAGTGAGAANCACCTAGGGGGGGGGGAGTGGCCAAAATACCTGATTCCGAACAAACCAAGAAGGGGCTTACGAACCGCACACGTTCCTGGTTGTGGCGATGGTCACCCGCTCGATTGGTCCTCAACGTGTATTGAGCAGCATGGACGTTTGACCCCGTCCAAAGGGCGACTGATTCGATGAAATGAACTGAACCGGCCCAAAATGTATTGCGGTTTTCGCACACTGCCCCGCTCCCTGACGGGTCGGGCTTTGGCTAACCGAAGACTCTGTTTGAGGATTCCTCAAGAAAATTCACGTGCCTTGGCCTGGGCAAACTGGCAGTATTCGGTGGCCCACATGCAAATCATGGAACGTATTTTTCTTTTTCATAAAGATTATTGTACCGTGATTTGTTTCGTATACAGTCTGCATTCAGACGTGTCTGGAGATGGATATATATATATATATATATATATATATATACATTCGAATGTTCAGAGCCATCAGGCACTCTTGATGGTTTTAGGTATAGGTTACACGATGTATACATATGTATTAGGGATTAACTAGACAATATGAACAGTTGTTTTGGAAAGGGAAAATTAACATCATAGGTTGTTTTTTTCGGGGGGGGGGT